TTTTTTTTTCTTCTTCAAAAATCTTTTGCCAAAGGCAGCATATAATTTCACGCACAAAAAAACAGGCAGCATAATATTTTTTTTGGTCGAAACAGGTAGCAAATTTAGCATAGTAAAAAACCAAAAAGCAGCAAACTTGTTGTGGTGGGCCATGTAGATATAGGTTATTATTAGTTTTTCTTCAAAACTTCCTTGGCTACAGCCCACCACATCCTTGGCTGTGGTTCCGCCCAATGAGGCTTGTTTTTCTGTTCAACACATGGATTAAGATACATAAAACCCTAGTCGCGTACACGCACACAATATCAAGATATTTAATTACAACACAAATATGATAACTCCTCTTTGCTTTTCTTTTCGAAGTTAAAATAAATCTCTTATTGAGAGATTCAGTTCACGAAAATAACAGATACAACATAGAAAAGAAAAAAGTTTGGATCGATTTAAGTTTTGAATGTAATTAGAAGCAAGCATGTTGCAAAACTTTGGATTCGAACCAAAAGAAAAATCTAGTGCTCAAGCATTGATCTTTGAAGAAAATACCTTAATTTTTTTAACAGCTTCTGAATCCAACAGCAGCCTACTTCTTCTCTCCCTCTTTCGGAGACATCTATCATCTAACATAAGCAAAGCAATAATAAAGGTCGGGTTATTGTGATTGAATAATTTATAAGGGGAGGGAGAGTGTGAGCCAGTTAAGGAAACTAAATTCAAATCCTAATTAGTTTCTCTTTAACGATATGGTTTGATATTTGGCAGGTTCTGGTGGTGATTTTTACATTAATACCCTCAAGCTGTGTTGTGGTGGGCTTTTTTTTCGGGAATTTTGGTGAAGAAACATAGTGTAGGGCCTGTGACACCTCTGGGCTACTAGACGCTGGAACGGCGCCGTTTTGCTTAGGGGACGAAATGTTTGTTTGGTTTGGTTTTCCCTAGGGCTGGGCATTGCATCGCAAGCTCCACCGTAGCTGTCTCCATCTCCACAGCAGCTCCTTCCAATCCGTCTTCTCTCCATTCAGATTCTGAACAATCGTACGGAAAACCAAAAATCCCCAAATTCCAAAACCAAGAAACTGCTGTCTCATCCTCATCCTCCTCCTCCATCTCGGTAAGTTGTTTGTGTGTTGATTTTGGTTATGTGTAGTTGATTCTGTTTGATTGATTATGCTTTTGTGCTGCTCTGGGTCGATGGATTAGGTTAATTAGAATGCCCAATGATCTCGAGTCTCGACCCTGTATGTTCATTTTCCTTCCCTTGATTTCTTTTTCCAATATTGGTACTGAACCTTGTTGAGAAATGGTAGGCAGGATATGAAAATTAGCTCTTTTAGTTCCCAATATTTGGGTATTTGGTTGATCTGCAGTTGCTAGTTGTGGACCAAACTTGGGTTGTTTCTTTGTTTCTGGCCTTTTTTACTGTGATGCTTGTTTAGTCACTCCTCTATAGCAAAAACGTTTTATGTTCATTGCAATAGAAAATTAAGAATAATTGCTTAAATGGTTTCTGAATACATAATATTTTTTTTGTTTAAGATAATTTAATTATTTCAAATTAACTATATAGAATGACTATTAGTATGTCATAGGGTTGGATCACAAGTTTATGCCTAGGTGGGGGTCACCGGGTCAAGATCGATGGTCATCAAGTTGAGTCCAATGGTCACTAGGTTAGATCAGAAGGTCACTAGGTCAGACCAAGAAGTTACTTGTTTGAGCTTGTGGTTAAGGAGGCTGGTTTGATTGTTAGAACTTAGAAGGGCAGGATCAAGGGTCAACGAGGAAACAAAAACAAATATAGTTACCAATCTTACTTATTTCAGTCTTAAAAAACTGAAATAATAATAATAATAATAATAATAAT